TCCTGCTTCCTCCTCATCCTTGTACTTTTCTCTCAAATTTCCTTGACACCAGAGAAACGTCACTGCAAGAAAATCCACTAAGATCCGCATTCAAGACAAATCTAGATCCGCCCACCAGCCTGCTGAGAAATGGATGGATAGTTTGTGCACAGCCACGTTTTCTTTAGACCCACACGGATTTTGAGCCATCGTTGAATAGAATTTTGGTTTAATAAGTACTAAATGTGTTTCCTTAGCAAAGTTTCTAACTTGCTAACATGGAAATGGCATTGCCACTGTTCTTCTTAAAGAGAGTTCTTGAAGAATGGGTCCAAGCACTTTTGCCACTGAACAAAAAAAAAAAAAGCCATTTTTTTTTAAAAAAGGAAAATCATTCTGGTACCTTGTCTTATTTAAGCATTTACTTTTGATGTAATTGTCTTACAAACATACTTAATGCAGTTGCTGACCGGTATACACTGTTCTCCTTCCATTCCCACCGACTAGAACTACAAACAGTAAAAAAAAAAAAAAAAAATTAACTGGCAGCCAAGTTTCTTCTCCCATTCCAATTGTTAAAAGAGAGAATGTTTCTGTCTGCTGTATGTTTAAGCCCCCTCTGCTGGACAAATAGTTGATTCAAATGTCAACACTTACAAGAAAATGGTTGAGTCAGAGTTCCCAGCACAATCTAGGTGAAGAACAATGCAAAGAACAATGCATGTGACAATGTATCTATGTGAGAAAGACCTTGAGAGTGAAGATGCTGCCTAGGGAACAGTCAGATAAGAGAGGACGTTGCCTGCAGCTGCATAATAAAAGAAAGAAGGAGGCAAAAAGTAGGTTTGTACACTTGTATAAAGACTTTGCAAGATTGTTACAATGAAGTAGAATTAGCTTATCTGATCATCTTTTTGGTCTGGTTTTCCTGGGAAGGCTGACATCAATCTTGCTAGTCTGGAAAGTTTGGGAGACTAATGGGCAAAAAAAACCACCTCCCACCATTATCTCAGGGGTTGCCACAAAGGAGAGGGAGTCAGCTATTCTCCAAAGCACCCAAGGGCAGGACAAGAAGCAATGGATGGAAACTAATCAAGGCAGTGGTGGGATTCAAATTTTTTACTACCGGTTCTGTGGGCGTGGCTTAGTGGGCATGGCAGGGGAAGGATACTGTAAAATCTCCAGTCAGAGGTGGTATTTGCAGGTTCTGCGAACAATTCAAAATTTCCGCTACTGGTTCTCCAGAACTGGTCAGAACCTGCTGAATACCACCTCTGAATCAAGGAGAGAAGCAACCAACAACTAAGAAGAAATTTCCTGACAGTTAGAACAATTGATCAGTGGAACAACTTGCCTCCAGAAGTTGTAAATGTCCAACACTGGAAGGTTTTAAGAAGAGATTGGATAACCATTTGTCTCAAATGGTGTAGGGTTTACTGCCTAAGCAGGGGGTTGGACTAGGTCCCTTCCAACACTGTTATTCTATTCCAGGGGTGTCAAACTCAAGGTGCTTAAATCCGGCCTGTGGGGATGGCCTGGAAATGTCAAAGGAGCGGCCCACGGTGCCTCTGGCACCCTTCCCCCGCTGCTGCCGCCCTCCAGCCCTCGAAGAAATCCAGTTTGACATCCCTGTTCTATTCTGCATTTTTCCTGCTTCAAAGCCAGTGCTTTCAAGAATTTAATTCCTCAGACTACAGTCATTTTTCCAACATTCAAAACACCATTGTTTTTTAAAAAAAGAGAGGATTTTCTCACAGCCAATCTGATCACACTGAGCTACAAAGTAACGATAGTAAGACTTTTTTGTATGTGTGTGGGGATAGGGGAGCACCAACATTTCTGTAAAATATACCTTATTACTGTTATATCATAACATCATCAGATAGAATGTTGTAAAGTAAGAGTAGCAAAATAATTGGTTCCTGCCTTCATGGAGCTACAATATATACTTCATTGAATGTAAGACACACTTATCAATGACATTTCATATCTACTTCCTTAGTTTGTTGGAGGAATGGATTGAATTTTTCAAGGGCTTTACAAATGAGGTGGAATAAAAAAAAAGACAGTGATAAAAGGGAGGAATCCTGTATAGATTAGAAACCAAAATCAACATTTTGCTATTTTTTTGTTTCCCTTCTTTTCTTGCATCTGTTTCCTTCATATTGAAGTGTTACATAATTTTTGGCTCCAGAGTGCAAAAATAATGCCTGGATTTATTTTTAATGATACAGGGCCCATCTGTGTGACTTGAGGACACTGGAAAATAGATTTCTTAACATGTATGTTCATTTTGGCTGCCACACACACTGTGACAATCTTAGTATTACTATCTCATATGTGTGTGTCTATATGGAGGGCCATAAGCGAACAAAACTTCTGGGCAGCATTCCAATATTCTCACTGGCCACATTCACATACAGCATGCTTGATCCAATCAGCCACTAACCCAATCCAGGGTCTTTATTAGAGATTTTGATAGCACAGAATCAAATTTGAGTCAGAAATCACTTTTTTGGAAATATGAAGTACCTGCTGAGTGTCTCCAGGATGAATCTAGCATCTCATGCATCAAAAGAGTCAATCAGCCATCTACTCTGTAACTTCTCAGCTAATATTTTAGCTTGATTTCTATGCTTTTTTTAAAACTTATAAAAATATTTTTTAAGAAAACCCATTACACCCATTGGATACCCTCCAGAGATGGCAAAAAATCTCTTACTGCAAAGCCTCAATCCAATCAGTTAGTCACATCAGCTGAGAATTCTGGAAAATGTGGTCCGGCACTCCAAAGTGCTTCAAGTTAGAGCATCCCCATAGCGCAGTTTCTTGGACTAAATGCACACCTCCCAAGGTGTGAGTAATTTATATGAACCCTATTCCATGTGTAAGGCACTTAAAAAAAAAAAGAACTGCATTGTGTTCATTCTGTTGGACTGAAAACTGCACTTTGAAAAAATTACAACGAAACCAGCAGAATATTGAAGACTTCAGATGTACCATGAGGGAAGAGAAAGCCTAAGTCTTAATGGCTCGTGTCTCCTTGCCCCAATTATAAGAGAGATGTACCTGAATAAATTATACCTCTTGATTTTTTTTTACTTGTGATTGTTATCATGTTCCATGGTCTCCTTGCAAGGTTGACTTGACCATTTGCTTATTGCTCCACAGAACATTTTGGAAGGTTATATATTAAAAGTACTGGGAATTCTGGTCTGGACTAACAACAGGTCTCTACTTGAAAGGTGGGATTTCTGGCCCAGGAACAAACTTGAAAAATAATGTAGGTTGCAGTCTACATTTCATGTATATCTATCTCCACAATTCTTCTGTGGGCAAGCAGATTGAAACAAGCTATTTTGCTTTAGTATTTTTCATCTTTACTTCTACTGAAGTGGGACATGCAATTGACACTTTAGGGCTACAAGTGAGACTCAATTCCAGTTTACTTTTGTGCTGTGGCAATTGCCTAACATTAACAGCTGGCTCTTATTCTTCCTTTTTCCGGATGTGACTGAATGGACCCTGTTCCTGTGGTTGCTGAGGGAAGAATTCAGCTGGAGTACCGGCTATTCGTTCTGACCATCTGAAGCTGCAGGGAAACAGAATTACTTCCCTCTCTTCTCAGTGAACAACCTGAACTACAACTTCCACCCAGGGGTGGGGTTCAAATTTTTTAACAACTGGTTCTGTGGGCATGGCTTAGGTGGTGGGTGTGGCTTGGCGGTCATGTTATTGGCTGGGTATGGCCAACTCAATATCACTCACATTGAGGCACGCATCTCCTCGCCTGGCCTCTCATGACTGTGGGAATGTTGCAACAGTCGTAAGTGTGAAAAATGGTCATAAGTCACTTTTTTCACTACCATTGTAACTTTGAATGGTCCCTCCACACAAGCAAAGTACCAGCAAAGAAGGGGAAAAAATCTTGAGACGTTCCTGAGACAGGAAGTCTAGTCCTGCCAAGAATGTAATAAGGGTTAACTGAGAGGCAGTTTCTGTAAGCAACACCAGAATGTTTCCTTCCTGCCTTCCTTACAGGATTAGGCCAGTAATTTCTTCTAACAACGGGTTCTGCGAACTGCTTAGAATGTTAACAACCGGTTCTAGCAAATAGGTGCAAACTGGTGGAATCCCACCCTTGCTTCTACCCCATCAGTGAAATGGAACTGTGTAGAACTGCCAAAAGTGCTACAGGAAAGGAGGCAAACAGACAAACCACCCAATTCGTCTAATTGTTTCTCCATACATGCAGTTCTTGGAAGGTAATTGAATGCTTCACCTAATGGTTTTCATTTTTCTCAAAGGAATGTTGGATGCCACTGAAGCACAATTTTTCAAAATGGGAAAAGAAGTTATCAATAATTGATTGCATTCCAAATTTTTTAAAAAAAGTTGTACAAAAGAGAGTTAATGTGTACTGTGCTTGACTAGTTATTTTAGCAGTATGATGAAGTGCTTTCTCTAACTTTAAATTTATGCAAGCATAATAGAGCAATATTTAAAAGTGTACAAGTAGATATAATTTACACAAACCACTTACATTTCAGACCACTTTTTATGAAATTATTGATCCCACATTACTCTCACCATTCCACCTTTTGTTTGCATGTTATTTAAATAATTTAAGAGCAGGAAGATTTGGGGAATGTACCACCTTTAGTGTCTAAGATTAGGCTCACAATGAAGCTTGTTATTCTGATTTTTCTTTTCTTTTCTTGAGCTGAAATCCAAAAATCTATACTCACATAGAATTTAACTGATCTTTATAAAATGTCAGTTTCTCAGCTATTACAATTTATTCTTCTTCCTCTGGAGATTGGGCAGTGTGTTTTGAACATACATTAAATCATCACCTCTATAACCAGAAGGGATTTACCAAACTCTGAACTTTTCTTCCTGGGAATTAAAACCCGAATTGATTTTTTTTAAATTCAGTGGATAACACCTATGAAAAATGATACGAGTCCTAACCTCTCCTCAAAGAATATTCAAAGATGGCAGAGAATCATAAACACATGCAGTTTTATAAAAATTGTATATTTTTGCAACATAGCAATGCTCTAATAAAGCCACATTAATTAGGCCTGATTGACTTGGTTGTGGATAGGTGCTCAGAGCTTTGAGATGGGACAAAGGAAAAGACGTGATTGTTAAGCCATCACATGAAGCAGACTTTTCTGCAGTCTATAAAGTTTGCGCAATGTTTTCTTAAAGTTCTACAATCGCTGTAATGAGATAATTGATTTTGCAATATGGGAAAACTTCTTACTGACTGTCATCAGTACAGGAAAGCCAAAAACAAACAAACATGAGATTTCAATATAATTGTGCACTTTAATGTATACATCAATCAGTTACTCATCAAGGAAGAGCAAGACACCAGGAATCTGGCAAAAGATTCCCGATTGTTTTTGCCACTGTACACTAATGTTGCCCTCCTTACTCAAAAAGAGCAAATGTTTCTAAATGTATCGTATTTGCTCCACTTGGTTTTGTAAATGACAGCTCATGTGTACTCACTTGGTTAACCTTAGCTGATTTCAAAAAGTTAAGCAGGATCAAATCTGGTTAGTCCTAGTAGGAAAGACTACCAGGAAATACTATAATAGAGTTGCATTTTGGTCTGAAAAGTTAAAAATCTCAGGAAGCAGCAGTGGCACATCATTTCCATACTGTTGCCCGAATTATATGAATGTGTCCCTAATGTCACAGGGAGTGGAGGTTTTATTTATTTTATAAATATGTAACTACAGTACCAGAAGCTGTATTAAGGAGAACCATGGCCTCCTACTGCAATTGTGCTGTGAATGTGTGTGCAGTTCTAAAATATTTCATGCTCAAGTTCTGTTTCAATAATTTGTTCAGTATATGGTCAAACATAATTTAAATTATAAAGCAACTCTGTTCAGTTTTATATTATAGATGAATTTGGAACATTCTGACTGGCCTGCTTTTTAAGTAATTTCAGCCTGAAAATGATTATTTGAGGTCTTTTTCACCTCCCCATTATGGACCTGTCATTTATCGCCTTAAAATCAGTCTAATGTTACTTAAGACTATACTGAATAATCAAATAATCAAACTTTGTGAAATAATCAGTATGGCACTCATTTACAATTTCAGAAAATGGCAAACTATCAATACCATTAAGTATGTAATCCCACAGAGTAAACCCAAAATTCTTAACCATAGTTAGCATACTTTAAAGTTGGATATTGCCCACTGAACTGAACATTCAGTTAAACACTTGTACAGTTTAATAGTTATATAATGGTCAGTCATTTGTGAAGCATACGGAAGGGTGTTTTGAAAAACATGATACGATAATGGCTACTGTATATTGGGCAGGCATCTGTCTGCCATCATTCAGTAAAGCTGGAACAAGAAAGAGGTTCTACCACAGTTCTACAATTCTTGCATTACGTAGTTCCATCAGTTGAAAGTATACTGTGAGAATTAAATACTCATCTTTACATATACACAACTTATGCTGTGAAAGCATATTTGCTTACAAACATATAAAAATACTTGTTAACTAGTTTGATAGGAAAATAATGTATAAAAGTATATAGCAAAAAACATTTAATCATCTGACAATGGAAAGAGCAAAATCCTCTTTTTATATTACATGGAAAACAAAAGCTACAGATTAACTTTTCTGGAATCTCCTACTTGGAAATACAAAAGGAAGACACAATTTTATTCCAAACCATGATGTAACATTATTTAAAACTAAAATGCTCCAGTCCATAATGAGCCCAGGTATTTGGCCATAAAGCTGTAATACTAATAATCCTGTAGCTATTGCTGGAGCCATAAAATAAATACAGTAGACGGTTGAGCACTGGAAAAAACTGCAGCATAAACAAGAGCTGTAACACAAAACTTTGCCAATGAAATTCAGTGTATTGGCTTCCTGTAAGGCAGGCTGAATTTTGTTGCCTAATCTAATCAAAGGGTAAAACCTCCAATCTACTCTTTAAAAAAATACTCTACATATTGATTAGAGAACTCACTCTCTTTCGAGTATGATCGACAAAGATCTCACTGGGGAGGGGTGGTGGGAGATACCATTTTAAGCTTCAATAGATTCCTAAAACTACCTTTTGTCCATTGTGAATAAAACTCCACAAAGTGCAATTTTCTTGACATAAGGAAAAAGAATTTGGGAGCATTAAAAGAAGCCTTAGTGTATTGACCTCTGATGTGAGATGACTAAGGTGTCTTCTAGGTCTGGACCAGTCTGATTCTTTCCAACTAAGGCTATTTTGGTGACCATTTATACAACATGCACACATGAAGCAAGACAAAACATCAAGACACACAGGAAGAAAAGTGAGGGGAATTAATCTGGCAGTCGATAGCTTGTTTTAAAGGATCTTTAGACGATGACACAGTGGCACCCTTTCTTGTCCTTCTCCTTCCTCGTTGGCTCTGGGGAAGGAGGACATTCTTGTTCTTGAAATTTCCTACGGAAAAAAAAAAAGAATTCAGATAAGGCTTAGGACTTCAATCCTTCTGGTTCCACATTTAAGTCTGCTTAGCTTATGCATTGCTCCAACTATCTCTGATTGGATCATACAGACCAATGCCAGGTGGTTCCTCCCATGCACCCATCCCTCCAAAATTGAATTTTAGGAATTAATGGAGGAAGATGTTATCCATTTAGTCATGTCCAAATCTTGGTAATTCTATGGGTCAGGTCTCTGCACAATCTTGCATTACTTCTTTGAATTATTTTATGCTTTGGCTGGTGCCAGTTTTGATGGTGTCCACGTTCTTTGGTTGCCTGGTTGTACCACTCACTCTTCTGCACATAATTGCTTTCTCCAGTGAATTCCCCCGCATGACATGGCCCAAAGTAAGTGGGATGCAGTTTTGTGATTTTTGCCTTCCAGTGACATGACTAGTGTTAGGCATTCCAGTATTTGCTTGTTAGTCACCTTTGCTGTCCAAGGAGCGCACAGGAGTGTCCTCCAGCACCACAACTTAAATGAGTCAATTTTCTTCCTGTCTTGCTTTTCTAAAGTCCAACTGGAATTCACTGAGTCCAGACTAATTACAGCACTTTGCACCCACATAAAAGTAAAGTGGATGGAAGTGAATTTTTTCACAGTGGATGGATTTAACTGAGATGGGCCATTTAGATAGTTGTTCACATTTTGCACAGAACTTCTTGTCAGCAATATCCTGAATTCTAGCATCCTCTCTTACTATACTATAGCATATCCTGCAAATATTTAGTTGGCATATTCTACTTGTATGTTCCAGGCTTAACTTTTCTGGTCATATTTCAAAGGATAGGACATTGGATTTCCAATATTTTAGACTCAGGTTGATATCACTGTTTAATCACAGAACCATCCTAAGCCCATCACAAAATAATAGTTGCGGGAAGTAGCAAGAAGATAATCCATGCAACCTTTACAGAAAGACCAAACTTGAAAACAAACACACAAACATAATAAAGGACTGGTTATGACAATGCAGCCTGACTATATAGCTGCTCCTAAAAAAAGATATTGTAGGAGAGAGAGGAATGTAATATCTATTGCCTACTAACAAATGCCTCATATCTAGAAACTTCTCTAGAACCTTTCCAAGGCTTCTCCCTGCAAACCCAGCCCCATTCAGAGATCTGATCAGGGTCATCTGCTTTATAGCCCCCCCCCAAAAAAAAAATTAAGCACAATCTTTTCCCACCACCCCAATGCTAGACCATTCCAGTTAAGTTCTGCCTGCTTAATGGACAGGGAGATCTGTAGTCACACTAATGAATGAGTATCATCAGGAAATCTGTAGTGAGCTAGGCTAAGATGGCTGCACTGGTGTACAAAGAAAGCCTTAATAATTTGGGATCAAGCAAGTCTCCATGATATCAGACTCTTGGGTCTCTACAATTTTTGCAGGGATTTTTTCCCCTGTGTTTTAGTGTTTAGATGTAGGTTGTGATGCTGATGTCCTTTTCCATGGACTATGTTTCAGAATCACCTCTCCTCTGTAATACCTCAGTAGCGATGGATTTCAGGTATTGTACAACACATCTTTTTTTTATTTTTTTAACCACTAACTCCCCCTGATATTGCTATCTGAATGGATAGTTCTTCATTTTATTTTTATTCTTCTTGACATTAGAATGATATTATTGTTTATGTAACCCAGTTTGGGTTACTTTCTATGTGAGATGTCATATCCAAAGACTTTAATTTAAAAAAATCTTAGCAGAAGTATAAATTTCATAATGCCAACAATATGGATAATGATATGATAAAAAAAATATGATAACGTTAATAAACAAAGGTCTCTGGTATATTCAAAGTATTTAGCAGCAGGCCATTTTTATTGATGACAATAACAAAAAGCAAGGATGGTAAAGAAAAGAGATTCCAAACGTTGAGAAAAGTTCCCTCCATCAAATTGGGAGTTCTGAACAAAAATAACTTTCCAAAGAATGTCATGCTAATAGTAAAAATAAGCACTCTCTTTTAAGAAACTGATTAAAAATGAACTGAAAACTGATTTGGAAGAAACTGTTTATGTTGATTCACTGTTAGAGTTACATTACTGAAAAGAAAGTTGGTCTTACCTGAAACGCATCTTCTAGCTGTACGGGAGGAGAATCCAAAGCATGGGCTGTCTCCTGCTTCCTTGCTTAAAGACAGAGTCAATCAAAGTTTAGTCCAGTCCCCTTTCCACTGCGCATGCCCAGTTTTTGATGAAGCCTGATGATTGACTTGGAGATTTCTTGGTGCTCTTTCTTGACCATTCCGTGCTCAGGACTAACTCTCTAAGGGTGGGATTTGGATTCTCCTTCCATACAACTAGAAGATGTGTTTCAGATAAGCCCAACGCTCTTTCTCAGTTGTACTAGTCAGAGAATCCAAAGTGTGGGACGTATCCCAAGCTAATTGTCCTGAGAGTGGGCCAACTCCTTGTCCCAAGCCCCCATCTCCTGCTCTTTGTAGCATCCTTCTTCCAAAGGATGCTTCCGCTGATGCGAATGTATCCAGTTTATAATTTCTGATGAATGGAGATGGTGATGACTACATTGCAGCCCTACAGATCTCTTCAATCAAGGCCTGTGTATTCCATGCCGCTGATGTGGCTGCACTCCTGGTTGAATGTGCCGTTATCTTACCCGGCAACTGCAATGATTGGCTTTCGTAAGCACTTGTGATACATGTCCTGATCCATCTGCCTATAGTTGATGGTGAAACCTTTTGTCCCAACGAACTCAGTCTAAATGAAATGAACAATTCCTCCATTTTTCTAATGGGTCTTGTTCTCTTAATATAAATGCGTATAGCCCTCTTTACGTCTAAGGAGTGCCATTTCTTTTCTAGGCTATGGACTGGTTCTGGGCAGAAGTCTGGTAGCACTAACTCCTGCACTCTATGGAATGTAGAATTGATCCTTGGGATAAAGGTCGGATCTAATCTTAATCCTACCCTGTTTGGGTGGACTATACAGAGGTATAGTCCACCCAAAATCACAGATAATGGTGCTAGCTCTGATATTCTTCTGGCTGATGTAATGGCTACTAGGAAGGCCACTTTAAGGGTGAGTGAGGGTAATCCCACTGACCTCAGTGGTTCAAAGGGCTCAGTCATGAGCACTCTCAGCACCCTTGTCAAGTCCCAAGTGGGGTACCTGTGTATCACTGGTGGCTTTAGATTGGTTGCTCCCCTGATGAACGTGTGGATTAGGGGATGTCGTGACTCTGAGGTTCCGCAACCCAATACTGATGCTGTCGCAACTACCTGCCTCCATAAGGTGTTAGGGGTTCCTTTTCCAAGCCTTCCTGGAGAAAGTCCAGCACTTGTGTAACTAACACTGAGGTTGGGCCTATTTGTTTCCTAGAACACCAGGTTCCAAATGCTCTCCAGGTAGCACCATAAATTCTGTTGATCGATGGCCTCCTGGAGGCCTGGAGTGTTTATATCACATTGGCTGAACACTCTAATCGCCTTAGTGTGGCCCTCTCAAGTGCCATGTGGTTTTTTGAAGCCATTGTGACTCCAGGTGTCATATGAATAGAATACCTTTATTGTCATTGCATTCCACGAATACAATGACATTTGAAAGCTACTCCAGCACAGTGCCCCAGACACCACATCACAATCACACTACAGAGTATTTAAAAATTAAAATAATTATAATAATAATAGGACTAAATCACATATGCACTGTTTGATTCAAGACAATTACTGCCTTGGAAAAGAAACTATTTCTCAATCTATTAGTCCTCATTTTAAGACACGCTGGCTCCCTGGTTCAGCTCTACCCTGTCTGGGGGAATTCTCCATGGTCTGGATACCGACAAATCTACTAGATCTGCGTACCAAGACCTCCTGGGCCAGTGAGGTACTACCATTAAAACCTCTGCCCCCTTCCTCTATCATTCTCTTGATTACCCTTGGTACTAAAGGAAGTGGGGGAAATGCATAAAGCAGCCCCTTTGGCCACGCTCCTTGGAGCGCATTGGTTCCTTCTGCTCCCTGTGTTGGAAATCTCAAGTAGAATCTCGGGAGTTGTGCATTTGCTGGGGTCGCAAACAGGTCCAGGACTGCTCTCCTGAATCTGTGCAACTGTTCCCTGAACAGGTCCGGGCGTAAGCGCCACTCTGAGTGGTCGACGGTTGTTCTGCTGAGCCAATCTGCCTGAATGTTCTCCACTCCTGATATGTGTTCCACCCTGATCGATAGGCCCAATTGCTCTGCTTCTTGCATGAACGTTAGGGAGTGAGTACCCCCTTGTCTGTTGATATGTGCCTTGGTGGTCACATTGTCTGTCAGGATCAACACATGCTGTCCCCACTATCACTGACTTGAAGGCCCTTAGAGCCAGGTGAGATGCCCTGAGCTCTAACCAGTTGATGTTGTTCCTGAGATCTGACTGAGACCACTGACCCTGTGTAATCTGGTTCTGACAGTGGGCCCCCAGCCTACTAAACTTGCATCTGTTGTGATAGTCAGTTGGATGGGTTCCTTGAACCCACACCCCCTCATCATGGCCTGTGATCTCCACCACTGGAGTGACTGCTTCACTCTGGGAGGAATTTGTACCTTGGTTCCCACATTGCCCTTGCCTGCTCTCTGGTAAGGTAATAGGAACCAATGCAAGGTCCTTGCGTGCAGTCTGGCCCAAGGTACTATCGAGATGCACGATATCATCTTTCCTAATAGTTGTGACAGTAAGTCCACCCGGGGCTGTAACCACTTGATGTATTGATGACCTTATGCTGCCCTGTCGTTCCTGTGACAGGTAAACCTAGCAGGAGTTGGTGTCTATTACTGTTCCTAAGTGTTGTAAATGCCTTGTCGGTTCTAAGTGGCTCTTTTCAAAATTCACCAAAAAGCCATGTTCTTGTAATGTCTGCATTGTGGTTTCTAGATCGCTCTTTGCTCTTAGAGTCGATGTTGACTGTTTTAATATGTTGTCCAAGTAGCATTGGATCTGTATGGGCTTTGTCCTGAGAAAAGCTGCTACCGCTGCCAGTACCTTGGTGAATGTCCTTAGTCCCAAGGATGGCTGAATGGTAGAGCTCTGTATTGGTAGTATCCTCCTGCGTAACCAAACTGCAGGAACCTTCGGTGCCTTTTGGTAATAGGTATGTGTAGGTACGCGTCTGTGAGGTTTACTGATGTCAGGACATCTCCCTCCCGGATGCTCCCTAGTATAGATTGCAGGGATTGCATCTAGAATCTCTTGTACACTATGTGCCTGTTTAGTAATTTGAGATCCAAAATTGGTCTCCACCCACCCACCCCACTCGATGCCTTTTTTACAACGAACAGGTTTGAGTAGAACCCTTGTCCCTGTTCGTTCTCCGGTACCACTTGTACCGCCCGAATGTCCAGCAGATGTTGCACTGCTGTTTCCATAATTACCCTTTTGGCTTTGTCTCTTGGCATCGGGCATCTTCTGAATGAGTTCGGGGGTGTGGAGAGAAATTCCAGAACTAGGCCTCTTCTTATTGTGTCTAGGGCCCAGTTATCCATTGTTGTTGTCTCCCATCGGTCGGTGAATAGGCCCAGTCTCCCGCCAATGGAAACGTTGTTTTGGCTGTCACTTTGTATGCCGGAAGGCCCTGCTGGTCGAACTCTTGAAAGGCCGTCTACCCACCCACACAAAGCCTCCAGCGTTCCCTTTGATAGGAGCAGGCTCAGTCAAGGCTGAGCGAGCTCCAAAAACAGCCATACAAGCCTGCCCAAGAGAAAGGGAGGCTAGAGTCCATACTCAGTCTAGGCTGAGCATACTCTTAAGTGGTTAGAAAGAGCAACCGCATTTGCTGAACCCCAGCGTGGGCGAAGCTGCCGGAAAGAACGAAGGGATATATTATGGCTGATTTTTCTGAAACGGAGGCAGGGGAATGAGAAGAGATTTTATAATGTGGAACTAGTGGATCTAATTCTAGTTCCCATGATAGACAGTCCTGTGGCAGCCTCCACGTCAGCTACAGTGCTGGCTAATGAAGCTGAGGATGGTCTAAAAGAGGAGAACAAGAAAACGGAGCAGACCCTTCAAAAGGTTCACCATGCTGCAGCATGGTCTATAAAGGCAGCATCCATGACATCTTTTTTCAGCAGAGCAGTCCTGATATGGCTTGAGAAGATGAAGAAAAGGCTACCACCTGGCGATCTTCGATTGCAACAGGACTTGAACAAAATAGTAGCTGCAATGGAGTTCATAGCAGACACCACACTCAATGTGGTCAAGTATGCAACTAAGGCCATAGCAACTTCAGTGGCTGCAAGGCGCCTTGTTTGGCTATGTCACTGGCAGGAGGATCTGAAACATAAATGGAAGCTGGCATCAGCCACAGTTAAAGGGGACAAACTTTTTGGGGATGCCATTGAGCCATTATTGATAAAAACCAAATACGAGGAAGGTCTTGCTGAGGAAATTTCGTCAGGCAGATAGGCAATCTTCACCATATACACCACAACAGCCCTTTCCTTCCACTGGGTGGCTTTAGCCACTCCCAATTCCCACAGAGGCAGTACACGCAAACCCCTACTAGACATCCAGACAGGTCAGGATTTAGGGATAGGGGTGGGAAGACGGCCTTTCAAGAGTTCGACCAGCAGAGCCTTCCGGCATACAAAGTGACAGCCAAAACAACACACCCATTGGCGGGAGACTGGGCCTATTCACTGACCAATGGGAGACAACAACAATGGATAACTGGGCCCTAGACACAATAAGAAGAGCTCTTTAAACAGCTCCCTTTGCCTTTCTACAGCAGACTGCCGGTCTTCCCCGCTTTCTCTTCGCCTCGCGACTACGGGATGGCCGAAAGCTTGTTAACTAGCCCTCCTTTCTCTGCTAGCCAATCGAGAGCCTGCCCGCTGCTGCCACTTGCCTTTTAAGTGGCTTGGTCCGCGATCCCGGCTCTCTCTATTCGCGTCTTCCAATTACTCACAGTTTGCTGACTTCCACTCTTTTTCTTTCTCTTTAATTCTTGAAGAATCCAAAGCATTATTACTATTTTTTCTATCTTTCTTTCTGAGCACTCTCTCCTCGTGTCCTCTGCATGAAGATGGAGTCAAAAACTGGGCATGAGCAGTGGAAAGGGGGCTGGACTAAACTTTGATTGACTCTGTCTTTAAGCAAGGAAGCAGGAGATAGCCCACGCTTTGGATTCTCTGATCCATACAACTGAGAATGGACTCATTTTTTCATCTAAGGAACAGACATCCTATAACTCTTAGCAAATTATTTACGTGAGACACAGAAGATAATGCTGTTGAGATTACTACATCTGAAATAATATACCTTCTGCTTATAAAGAGAATTCAAATGCATTTTATACTAAGTTTGTTTGTTTTTTACAAAAACATGCAAATTTTACGTATGACTGTGACCCTTTCTGTATATAAAACAATCAAAGAATAAACTCCATGAATAATAAAATGGAAAGAGAAAGGAAGAAAATCTATTTTTTTAAAGAAAAGAAATTAAAATGCATTTCTATGCATTCGCAATTCAAGGTTTACCTTATAACTCGGACAAGTTCATGAAAAGCTTGATCTACATTGAGCCGTATTTTTGCTGAAGCTTCCATATAGGTTACTTTCAACTGCCGTGCTAATTGCTGACCTTCCTCCTGTGTTACCTGAGAACATAAAAAATATATATGCTGTATGTAACAGCAAACACCAATGTGTTTGGGTAACCAGAGTACCTAATTCAGGCTCTGTCCTAACCATGAAACAAATTCTTATGCTGGCATGCAATTTCTCCCATCAACTGTGATTAAATCATTTTGATCAGTAAAAAGGCATTTTAATTTGAGCCCACAAGAGACTAAGCAAAGATAAAGAGTGTCAACCAATGAAGCTTAATAGCCAATTTGTTGTAAGAAATTAGGCTATATAAGTGCGTACATAACAGCATTCTTTATCAATTACGACACTAATAATGGACATGGTGATGTGATAATGGACATGGTAACATACGAATGGACATAGTGTTCACGGGGAGAGGAGAGCAAGTGATTGTCATGTGCATCATGTACAAATTATGTACTGTATATCATCCACCATACATTGCATGGCATTTGCATAACATTTTCATGGCACCTGGGACATCACTTCAACAAGGCATCCATGATGCTGGCTGTTGCTGGGGAAAGGGGAATAGAAGTATCCCCCCTAAGTGCCAGCTACTTTCATTCACAGGAAGAGACTACTCTTCTTCATCCATATTGCTAAATGACTTCCTCTTTTGCATGCTATTTGTTTCAAAATAACTTCTCTCTTTAGTTATATTCTACTAAATCAATTTTCTGAAAGGGTTATTATTATTACTACTACGAATGAAAAACAATCCTCAGTCTCTAATGCTATGAGTAATTGTTGGTATCGGAAATGCTGGAAACATAACTGGAAAGAGACTCATGCTTTAATAATGATGTCATGATCATTGTCTCATCGCTTAGATATTGTCTTGAATAACATTCAAATGGCAATTGCTCAGAGAAGAAGTTGATTTAATGCAGAAATGCTTTCATAAATTAGGAAAAATGACTTCCTATCTAAATATTTAAGTATGAAACTTCTAAACTGCAGAGTAAGACCACCCAATCTATTTTGGACCAGAATGTAGTTGCTAAAAGTTGACACCAACTTGATGGCAAATAATTAATCCATCAAGAAGGTAACCTCCTTTAAAAAAAATTAGAGCAGTACCTCTTCAGAGTTGCAAATGGAAGCATTCTATCTAGCGATGTCAAGAACTGAACCCATTGCCATATATTCTTCTATAGTAGTATTCTATAGTAAAAAAACAACAACAACAACCACATTTATTTGGCATTTTGTTCCTACCAAATTCTTACCTGTCTCTGATGGTCCAGATCAGCTTTGTTTCCAACTAGAATCATAGGGAACTCATCACGATCTTTTACTCTAAGAATTTGTCTTTGAAATTTATAAATTTCTTCAAAACTGGGAAATAAGGGAAGAAAAACTGTTAGGAACTATCCAAGCTAGTAGTTCTGTCATCTCACAATCCTTAACAGAGTAACAGAGTTGGGAGGGACCTTGGAGGTCTTCTAGTCCAACCCTCTGCTTAGGCAACCATTTCAGACAAATGGTTCTCCAATCTCTTCTTTAAAATTACCAATGTTGGAGCATTTGCAACTTCTGGAGGCAAGTTGTTCCACTGATTAACTAACTGTCAGGAAATTTCTCCTTAGTACTAGGTTGCTTCTCTACTTGATTATTTGCATCTATTGTTTCTTGTCCTGCCCTGAAACACTATTTTGTGATGATAAAGCTATACTCAAGAAAACTAAATCCACTATTTCCTTGATTGAACTGAGTTAGTCAGACATTTCTATGGATTTTTGCAGAAAAAATAATTCACTGTGTTGAAAACCAGGACCAAATACTCCTAGGTAATCTGTGTAGGTTTATTCTAGCCACAGTAGATATGATAGATCTCATACAGAATTCAATTACCTTCCTCTATCTGTGACTGAAAAGACAAGCAGAAAGCCTTCCCCGGTCCTCATATATTGTTCCCGCATGGCTCCAAATTCTTCTTGGCCTGCTGTATCTAGAACTAAAGAAGACTAGTTAGTTTTCCTACCTAAAAAACTTTCTTTACAACCTCCAAGCATTAACTGTAGTTTAAATTTGTTTTTAAACACTAAGGGCATATTCTCTTAAACTAAAGATGCCCGCTCCCATGCCTTTCTGTTATACACTCCAATGCTTCTTTTAAACTTTGTCTCCAGATTAACTGCAATATTGAAAATCAACAAAGAGGAAACTTCAAACAGTCAAATGTTGGGAGGTACAATAGGGGATGTTTCCCTGACATACCACACATACTTTATTTAATCTTTAAAAATTAACTCTAACATGACTTTGGGGGAAAGCAAACACAATGTTTTCTCCATCCTATATTACTGTTCTCTAATAATTCTATACACGGGTGGTAGTGTGAAGACTATAGAAAATCATTGTTGAGAAGAAATGGAGTTAATATGCTCCTCCTTCCATGTATATAGAGGCTTTACATGCTTACAGAAACTCAAGAGAGGAACAATTAAAGAAGTGAATACAAATAATGAAAATGGCTCTGGTTCTTAAATAAACATTCCACACCCAATCAAACTCTATAGAGGGACAAAATGAATAAGAAACTTACTATCTAATCTTGCTGCCCTTTCATCTATTACACATTGCTTTGTGTAGGAATCTTCAATTGTGGGATCATAATCTGTAACGAAGTACGACTGCAGAAAAAAGAAGAAGAAGAAGAAGAAACAAGCACATTAAACCCCCAAGTTATTGTGAAACCATCAACCAATCCACCAGCATGACTCCAATCCTGAAGGAGAAAAGAAAAACACTGCCATACAATCCTTCATGCCCCCAGTCCACTGAGCTGAATATCAAAAGAATACCATGTTCAAGTGTATCAAAAGCCATTTGAGAAGTCTCAAGGATGAATTTACCAGTGTCTGGATTCTTCACATGAGCCCATCCTGGAAGCTAATGGAACTAACAGGTAGTTTTTTCCCAACAGCCCAAATGACTTTTTCTGCTTCATCCAGTGTCCACCTGAATGCCATTGGAGACATTTATGAGACTGAGATTTGTAATTGTTCAGTCTGTGCCTTGTGCGGTAGAGGGGCAGCATCTTTTTATACAGAGAGATTGGGGGAGTGATGGGGGTATATTGGCACGGCTGCCATAATGCCTGAAAAGAATACACTTTCCATCCAAGCCATAGGCTATGTCAGAAGTGTATTTTAGTGAAGGTTCATATGTGTGTGTGTGTTTGTGTGTATCTATCTATCTATATCTATCTATCTACATATATCTACATATATCTACATATATCTACATCTATCTATCTATCTATCTATCTATCTATCTATCTATCTATCTATC